AGTCTGAGGTTAAGCAGATTGTGAAAAAACGTACACAGTTCGAAACCGCGCTTGTCCGCCGCATCCCAAAAAAGGGTGACTTCCTGCGATACGCGGCGTATGAGATGAATCTGGAGCAGCTGAGGCGGAAGCGCGTGGAGAGACTGAGTACGTGCTAAGTACATCCATATCTCAAAGTTTCCGACTCGCTGACTGTTCTATGGTTTTTTCTCAGAACTGGAAAAGACTGCACCGTCAATATCTGATTATGCTCTTGTTCGCAGACAATTCCAGATATTTGAACGTGCGCTCAAGAAATTCAAGTCGGACGTAGGATTGTGGATACAGTATATCCAGGTCGCAAAACGTGAGGGGGCTCGTTCACTAGTAGGGCGCATAACAGCCAGGTGCGTCCAGTTTAAAATTTGGTCAGTCTGTTTTTTTACCGTGCATATAGGGCCCTCCAGCTCCATCCAAGAACCCCTGCATTATACATCATCGCCGCCTCTCACGAACTTAACCACATGTCCCCCTCCGCGGCACGCGCCCTCCTCCAGCGTGGTCTTCGACTCAATGCAGACAGCATCGATATGTGGAGAGAGTACGTGCGAATGGAATTGAGTTTCGTTGAGGGGATGAAACGAAGGTGGACTGTGCTGGGAATTCATGAGGAAGGTCACCCTATTGTTGAGGCAGAGACAACTGCTGCGGAAGATATGGCGACATTGACCCCAGAAGAGATAGCAGCTGAGAAGGGAGGTGACGAAGGCGAGAGGGCACGGCAAGCCATTATGGATGGTGCTATCGTCAAGTCCGTGATTTTGAGCGCTGCAAAAGGTCTGTTTGTCATTCCTCTATAAGGATTCATATTGATTTGGACCACAGCTCTGCCTAGTATAAATTTATTTACAGCTCTCGAGGTCCTAATTCGTTCGTATCCCAGCCAAGAGCGTCTTCGCACGGCCCTTCTCGATCATCTATACAATGTTCTTAAAGACACACTACAAGGCGACCCTCATGCGGTGAAAATGCTGGCGACAAGAAAACTTCGAGAACTTACATCTCAAGAGAATAGTGATGATTTTGTCATGGCCGAAAGTGAAGAATTCGTCGATGCCCTCCAAGCCGCAAATGAGTCTTTCTCCTTGGCTGTTGGCGCCGGGAGCACAAACGCCTCTGGGATGGCTGATGTCTATGTCGAATTTGTAGAGCAGTGGTGCAAGTTGCCCACGCTGGATCCGAATTTAGTGAGTCTAATGTGGTGTAGCTCTCGTGGATTTCGGCTTATCCAACAAAACTAGCGTGCATATCTTGTAGCTTCCCTCCGGAAACTTGCCCGACAGCCGAACGCGCCGCCTTCGTTGCAGGCTGCATACGTCCAACTAACATTGCCTTCCAAGAAGGCTCTCTAGTTTGCATGTAGCTATACCGCAACATAAAATCACTATGATGCCCCGTGGTCCAAATGGGACCAGATTCGTGGAGAGTATGGGCCAGACAGGGAGACTATGGAAAGCGTAGGATCCACCCAACGAAAGTGATCACCTTTGGTATTCGTTTGGCTAGCTCTCTCTGCCACCTTGCTCGTGGCGAGATGCGCGCTTGGTAATTCATGTTACATAGTACTGCGTACGCACATCCATATATGTCATGAACTTATAACAGCAGACATGTCCTCGGTGATAAAACCTTCATTCTGCTCCTGCGGCGGACAAGCACTGGATTTGCCTCGAGATCAAGAAACTGACACAGGAAAGGTGATCAGAAGTCATCGCCGAAGATATTTACTTCCCAACGACCTCACCCTGCTTGATGCAATCTCATTTCAACGGTGCTGGATGCACTGCCAGATGCCTGTGAACCCGTTTTAAGTCCTCTTTTTACCAAGGCAACACCAGACTTCCGTGGAATAGCTTTCCTCTGCCCCCTCAGTAATGCCAAGCTTCCGAAGTAGGATCTTTTTCGCCCTAATATCTTTGGCCGCCCTCCCTTTGACTTGGGCTATAGTCAATGGTCCTGTCATCTCTGCCAACTTTCCTGATCCTGCTATCCTTGTTACTAGTGGGGGTACTTATGCATTTGCAACTAACTCCGGCAACATCAACATTCAGGTTGCAACGTCAACTGATGGTGGTGTAACTTGGGAATTGCAGTCTGGTGTTGATGCACTCCCGAATGTAGGGTCTTGGGCAACTGCAAACAGTACTTGGGCACCTGATGTCATTGACAGAGGGGATGGAACTTTTGTGATGTGTAGGTCTCGATCTTATACACCTCAGATGATATTGTACTAAGGTATGGCCTGCAGACTATGCGGCATGGTCGACCTCACACAGTACTCATTGCGTAGCAGCTGCTACTTCCGTCACCCCTGTCGGACCGTACACTCCCGAGTCTCACCCAATTGCCTGTCAAACTTCAGGCGGTGGTGCCATTGACCCCGCAGGGTTTCAGGATACCAACGGTACACGCTACATTGTGTACAAGGTGGATGGGAGCAGTCTTGGAGGAGGTGGACCTTGCGGGAATGCCAACGGAGAATATTCTACTCCTATCATGCTTCAGGAAATGGAGGCTGATGGTGTCACGCCTACTGGGGAACCGGTCCAGATTTTGGATAGAGGGCAATCCGATGGACCCCTCATCGAAGCTCCAGCGCTTATCTTGCATAATGGAACGTAAGTCGATATAACTTGAACATGTACTTGGATCCGGGACTGACCACAGAAATCATAGTTACGTGCTTTTCTTCTCCTCGAATTGCTACAACACCGATCTTTATGACATCTCATACGCAACTGCACCATCCATTTCCGGCCCATACACCAAGGCTTCATCGCCGTTGCTGATAACTGATGACGATGGCCTCACAGCACCTGGCGGTGCGACACCACGCCTTGATGGTGAGTTTATGGTGTTTCATGCAACCGTAAACACAAATCCGTTGACTCGTTATATGTATACGGCGACGGCGACGTGGAATGGGACTATTGTGAGCACATGATAAAACCACATCATGACTTTTATACACAATTGACTATCCTTATGACTCGAACTGCTTCTTGAGATGACTGATTGTACCAGACGCCTCAGGTAGAAAAATCACTAACCTGGACTGAGTAACTATCAATGCATCACATACATACAATACGCATGGTTTTGCACCGGTGTTAGCTTACTTATGCCAATTATTTTGAGCATTGTCATTTTGCCTTAATTATATACGTTGAATTATGACCTTAGTCAAGACATTCTCGTGAGAAGGACCAGTCGGGACTCGGTACGTCGAACACAGAACAATTGTCCAACTTGGTTGTTCGGCATGCACATACATCGTTCCCACGTAAGTAGTGCTGCCGTGGTCCAGTTCCGAACCGTGGTTCGAACCTGACCATTGGTCAGGTTCGTCCTTGGTTCGGTCCATGGTCCAGCATTTTGCACGGACCGAACCGGAATGAGGTTCGTGGTCCGCTAACTCCTGTGCGGTTCATCTATAGGTTCGGACCTTCCCGAACCGTTCCGAACCCCGAACCGAATCTTCCTTGCAACACCTTCAAGGCTCAATCACACGCTTATGGTCATTTTGACTTCTCGATCCTCAAGATTCGCCATGGTCACTTTGACCTTTGGCATTCTCAAGACTTTTTTTGACTTATCCTGTCCGGAGTTTCGCATCCCGCACACCCTGCTGTCCGATACGCCTACCTGTTCAATCAAGCTCAAGGTATGACTTTTCCGTCAAATCAAGCGCAATAAACTGACTGACATATTATATTTCTTAGGATCCTTCAATGCATACTATGAGTTAGTAGGAGATTGGGTATTCACATATAAAGGGGAGCAAGGTGAGTGATATCTTTTGACTACCGGTACAATGTCTGAACCTGAAGCACAGTGTGCTCTCAACCCAGACAGGTCTCTAAAGGATGCCAAAGACATCGTTTTTTACAACGATCCTGATGATGCTGTCCCCATTTCCGCTCCATCCTCCTCTGCCCAGCCACCCACAGACACCTTCTCTGTGCTACTGCAGACTGGACACAAACCAGTGCCACTTACTGCAGGAGCTCGATGCTCCATTCGCACGTCTCAAATCCTCGTCAAGAGCTCAACATGTACTTGTCTTCGCCACTAGAGGAGACTGATGACATTGTGGCCTGGTGGGGGGTAAGTTTTCTTTTTGACTTGTTTTTTCGCTACTAAATCTACTTAATAGCTTCACTCGCTGCAATACCCTACACTCGCATGCATCGCGCGAGACTATCTACCCATTCAAGGCAGCTCCGTTCCTTCCGAACAAGCATTCTCAAGCGGAGGAATCACTTCGACTATCCGACGCAATGCACTCGCGACTGACACGTTCACTGCACTACAACTACTGAAGGGAGCATATAGGAATGGGCATCTTTCTGCAGAAGTAGAGGCTGAGGGACATGTGGCTTCATTGGACATGTAACTATGAGTACAAATATCTTGTCTATGTTTTTTTTTCCTGGCTGTAATTTTTTTGCATTTGGTTCGCGTTCAGACCGAGAAAAAACCGAACCTGACCGCTGCGAACCGTTCGCAAAGGTTCGGTCTAAGGTTCATTGAAATAACTAGAACTGAACCTTGGTCCAGTTTTGGGTTCTCGTCCAACCACCTCTGAACTGAACGGAACCGGACCGCAGCAGCGCTACACGTAAGGCTATGTGTAACACCCACTGTTGGAAGGATGAGACTAGAACAAGTCTCAGCGTCGTGATAATAGAACTGCTAATATTTAACAGTACCTAGAACAAGTCTATACGAAGAACAAAGTAAGAGATAGACGGCATGCAAGTGGAACGTGATACATACCTCAGCGTCGTGATAATAGAACTGCTGAGGTATGAGTCCACCAGGGAAACCCTCCTGGGCAAAAATTTCAATAAATTGCGCTAAACAATGTTATTCTGATAATTCTATCTAATTTCATCTAATTTCAAGTTTTAGGAATAAAACGGCTAAAAGACGATAATGTACAATGGAATTATCAAGACTTATTTGAAGATACAAAAAGTGTATCGATCTAGATACGAGTTCAACCAAAAAGTGTTACAGTCATCTAGAACTGTATCACTCGACCACTCTCGTGGGACGATGGCACCGAAATTCGGCAGAAGATGGGCACTCCGCATGATCTTCGACAATGGCACAATGCTTGCCAATTTCGCGCCACCAAGCAAGGAACGCAAGACCTTGTAAAGGCCATGGTGTCGATCGGGAGCCAACGGAAACAGCAAGAACCATTCAATATAAGCCAGGTGGCTAGGAACCTGGACTGTTGGTGAAAAGAGGAGCGGGAGTGATTTCGAAGGTAATGAGAAGACGGCTCATACTTGACCAACACGGAATGCTAGAGCCAGTCAACTGTGAGTCACAATTATCCTTGTGAATACTCATTGCTGACTTACATACCTTGTATACCTGCGCTAATGGCTTCTGTATTGGCACCAAGGTTCACCAGGACTGTGTCTGAACGACGAGGCAGCAGACCAGAACCCGATCTCCGTTGTGGTCTTGTGTGAACAGAATCCAATGTGACAGTTGTGTCACTGTGACCACGAGCATCGACGGAGACCCACTTGATCTTGTGGAAAACAGGAAGTGTTCGAAATGGGAAATGGATGTCGCATGCAAATACTTCCAGTGCTCGATCATGGAGGGGGTTAGGATCCTCGGCATGCCTGAGCTGCGTGATATAGCGAGCAAGTGCCTCGCAGAAAAAGGTAGCGCCGTAGTCGTCAACCAATTTGTCTATAGTGACCGCTTTTGCAGTAGGGTGTTTTGGCATAGTCTGAAGCTGGCGGAAGGTCATATCTGGTGGACGTGAATGGTGAGGCTCCGACTTGACATCACCAGCAAGTCGCCAGATGACATACTTGTCATGGTGCAGTATTTTCTCTTTGCGTTCAAGCCACCGTGTCATCTGCGCGAACTCGTCCTTGTGATTGGTAGCACGGTAAGCATCTTTTGCGTAGTCAATATGAAGTCTTTCTGTATACTCTGTATTATAATTATCTGTTGTGCCCAACATCATAATCATGTAAGAGTAGTGGTGAGTCGCATGCAGCTTCGGCAGATTGAAATTGTTTCGGATACCGAGATCAATGAAAATATCCTTGTTCTCATGAAAAAGACCGAGTGCGTCGTCGATTAGCTGTAGGGTCTCTGAACTGTGACATGGATATTGTGCAAGATAGAGAAAATCAAGTAGGCCTTGGATGGCTTGTAGAAGTCGGTTTGCGTTAAGATTGTTGGGCAATCGGATACCAATTACAATACCAAGAAGAAAGTGGCAGATTTGTGAGTGTTCGGTCCCACTGATACACGACAGGCAAGTGATGCCCTTGGTGAACAGATGTATATGATGGTTGGGAGGAAGACGCCGACAACGAGCATCGATTTCGGCCACACCACAAGCAGCTGTCAACCAGCCTAAGAGATGTTTAACTAATCCTTGGTATAACTGGTGCAACACATCTGGTGTGATTGCATGGAAAACATTTGCGAATGGGAGATCTTCCCAGAAAGGATGAATGATAGGCTTGACACCTGCTGCTGAGCAAGCACGAACAAAGGACAAATTGCCTTCATCGAGAGTAGCGAGGGCATCTAACACTTCGTGCAGTTTTCATAAATGAAACGGTGCTGTATTGCTCCCCATTTCATCAGCATCGATATTGCATTTTGGACACTCTCCGAACTTGATCCCAGTAGCGAGGAGTTGTTCTGGGTAGTCGCCGACGAAGCTCGCAAACAGTAGGTGGCAACGGCGGAGAGTGCCATCCCCACTCGCCATAGTAATCCCATCCAGTCCAATAGATTTTAGGGGAGCGAGAACATGGCTCAAGCAAGCATGGTACAAATTTGCCAAACTTCGGCGGTGTGAAGCTTTGTTAGAAATATGATCGAGGCGTGTGCATGGCAAATATGCCAGAAGTATATGGGCACCGCTTGATGGCTTGCGTTGAATTTCTTTTGGGATGTTGCCGATGGTGAGATAGACAGGGTAAGCAGATTTGTTGCGGAACAAGGTTACTTGAGTTTTGTCAGACAAGATGATGATTGAAATTATGGTGCCGCCTGGGCTGTGCTGATCGAGTTTTTTCTAAAGTATCATTAGTATCATATGTTGTAGACATAGTCAATGCTACATACCTGTGTATCCCACCACCATTTTCCTGTATGCATATCGTGAAACAGACGAACAGTCTCATCCTCATTGGCATAATGACACTCAGGCACAAACACAAGGTATCTCGCAAAATTGGGATCACTGTACAGTGACTTGACGCATTCAATCATGTTGCGGTAATAGACGTTGAAGGCTTCTCCTGCAACAATGATTTGCTCTCGTTTGAACTTTGGCCGGCCTGTCAGAAGCTCATGGTCAACAATGGCATTCAGCTCGTTCACGTTCTTGAAAGAGAGCGACAGGCGTTCACTGACCTGCAATCAACATAAGCACATCACATAAGCACATCAACATTCAGAAAATAAATGGTGACCGACTTACCCCCTTGATAGCAAGTAAGTCAGACAAAGCAGTCGAACTGAGTCCATGAAGTTTTGCCCATCTTGCGACCTCCCAATCCATCTTAGATGCAAATGGGTGATATGTATTCTCCTGGTTGCCATCAGTGGAAAGATGTGCACCATACGCCACGTTGGCAGTATGATTGTTAGAAATAGGTTTCCCGGCATGCAAGTCTGGATAGGGTGCGATAACACAACCATGCTGCCCTTGGGCGCGTTCTTGAATCTCCTGGTTACCATGGTGTTGTTCTTCATCAGCAGCCAAATCTTCCATGACATCCATGTCACTGTGGTCATATTGCTGTTCAACCGGAGGCTCCCACTCAGGTTCATTATTTGCTTTGTCGTCCGATCCATCATCCGCTCCATCATCCGGGCCAGATCCCTTGCGAGCCCACACAAACTCTTCCATGTCATAACCTCCATCATCATCAGGCCATTCCAACTAGTGCTGCCGCGGTCCGGTTCAGAGGCAGTTTGACGAGAACCGAGAACTGGACCAAGGTCCGGTTCTACCTTTATTGACAAACCTTAAACCGAACCTTTGCGAACAGTTCGCAGCGGTCAGGTTCGGTTTTTTTTTCCGGTTCAAACGCGAACCGGACCCAAATTTTTTTGCAGCTAGCGAAAAAAACAATTGAAGTACTTGTAGTGATAGCTACATACTACATATCCAATGAAGCTGCATGTCCCTCAGCCTCTGCTGCAGCAGAAAAGTGCCCATTCCTATATGCTCCCTTCAACAGTTGCAATGTGCTGAATGTGGAGGTTGCAAGTGTGTTGCGTCGCACAGTCGAAGTGATTCCTCCACTTGAGAACGCTTGTTCGGATGAAACAGTGCTGCCTTGAATGGGTAAGTAGTCTCGTGCGATGCGTGCAAGTGTAGGGTACTGTAGCGAGTGAAGCTAAGAGATGGTTAAGTAGCGAGAAAATGAGTCAAAAAATTTGCTTACCCCCCACCAGACAACAATGTCATTAGTGTACTCTAGCGCTGAAGACAAGTAAGTGGTGAGCTTTTGCCGGGGATTGTGAGTGAGATGGTCCCTTGTTTGACGCATCTTGATAGCCTCACGCATCCAGAGGGCTTAAAGGTGTGAATTGAGCGTCGAGCACCCGCAGTCAGTGGTGCCGGTTTGCATCCAGCCCTCAGTAACACTGAGAAGGCATCTGTGGAGGCAGACTCGGAAGAGGATTGAGCGCAAAGTGGGATGGTGTCGTCAGGATCATTGTAAAACACGATATCCTTGGCATCCTTAAGAGAACCATCAGCATTGAGAGCACACACATTAGATTCCAACATTGCATGAGAGGAGATACGACTCACCTGGTGGGGATTGCTCTTTTTATTTGAGGACAGAACAAACAGCCAGTCTCCGCCATGTGCATTGGAGAATCCTGGAAAATATATCAAAGTTATATATTGGTTAGCTTATTAGCTTGATTGACAGTTAATTCGTACCTTGAGCTTGATTGGACAACCAGGAGCACAGATTGGACAACCGGGAGCACGAAATGCGAATGTCCGGACAGAATTGGAAGTTCATGCGGATGTCGAGGATCCCAGAAGTCGAAGTACCCATGAGTGTGGAAGGGAAGTCACTCATTGATATCAATGAAGTTTCGGTTCGCGGTTCGGAACAGTTCGGGAAGGTCCGAACCCATGACCGAACCGTCCCAGGAACAGCGAACTGTGAACCTCATTCTGGTTCGGTCCGGCCAAAATGGAGAACCGTAGACCGAACCATGGACGAACCTGACCATTGGTCAGGTTCGAACCACGGTTCAGAACCGGACCGCAGCAGCACTAATTCCAACTTGTCATTTGGCTCCGATTGCGGTTCACTAGCGTTAGCGTGTATCTGGGAGCATGAGTGATTGTACAGCGCTTGACAATCCGGGTTTCGGCTCTTTGCTAGATGCTGACTGAGGCCTGTGACAGTGAAATTGTCCTGCAAACAAGCTGGGCAGCTTGCGGACATTGTGTTTAGCAAGGGTGCTCCCGACCAGCGTTACACAAGGGAGTAGATAGGCAAGGGGGGCAAAGGGTGCTCCCGACCAGCATTACACAAGGGAGTAGATAGACAAGGGGGGCAAAGGGTGCTCCCGACCAGCGTTACACAAGGGAGTAGATGCTATGAGGGTAGAGGTTAGCCCGATTAATGTTTAGACCCTTGAATTGAACGTACCAAATGGACTGCCTCTGAGCCCCCTTGAAATGCAGGACAATGTTATATTCGGCACCCAATCGAGGTGAAAGTAAAGGGTAGAGGGAGTACTAGTAGATGCTATTAGAGATGGGGGTTAGCCTGAGTGTTGACTGACAATTGGACCCTTGACAGCGAATTGAACTCACTGATGACTGCCTCCGGCACCCCTTGAAATGCAATAATGCACTAAAATTTAGAGGCGCCGAGAGGTCGAGAGTCAGCACCCGCATTCGAACAACAAGACCAGCGCCCGATGAGCAGTATATGCTGAAGTGAAGGGTGGATGGAGTAAAGGACACCTTGTGCCAAAGATAAGGGTGAAGGGTGAGGGAGCAGTGGATCAATGTGGCCGATATATGCGCAAATGTCCTAGTGAGTCTGAGGTAAAGGTAAATTCAGAGTCTGAGGTAAAGAGAGCTCACCTAATGACTCGAAACTGCCTCCAATGCACTGCATTGCACTCGACGTCATGGTTAAAAATGTCAACGCAAAATCTAACAGCATTGTCAAATTTTTATTTCACCCCCCCTCCCCGCTCTTTTCGTATCTTGAACATTCATTCTGTTAGCTTCCTGTCCTTGCAATCCAGTATAGCATGTATGCACCTCTTAATTCTTGTGGTGAGTAAAATTATTTTGAAGATCGGTGAGACGGCAGATTCTCACTGGGCTTGGATAGAGCCCTGAATTGCGAAGAAAAAAGCTATGGAAAAAGCCAGTAAGCAAGTGACTTTGGTCAGGCTTTAAATCAGAGAATTTGATGCTTACCTACTACTTCAGTTTGGATGCCTGAAAAGTCAGCAAGAAAAGTTCATCAACAAAAAGCACCTCCCAACCCACCGGTGAGTAGGCCGCCCACCAAAGCGAAACGACCAGCACCAAGTGTGATCGCTCAGATTGACAAGGGTTTGCCTTCAAAACTGAGTATATCACTCATTCTATCTAAATCATAGTGATGTAGAAACAACTATCCAGATGGTGGTATTCTGAACTATGTGTTGGGTCTGCTTGCCTAAGCTGCTATGCTTGTGGTGACAAGTGCGTTCGACCCTAAAGGGGAAGCAAGTACAGCAGAGATCTAGGGGTTGGTGCAAAGGGTGCCGTTTGTCGGCCGACATAGAGCGCGGGAAAGCGCGTGAGGCACGAGCGCGAGAACGAAGCGCTTAGGGCGGCCGATGCGCGGGAAGGTAGCGCTTGAGCGGCGCGAAGCGCGGGAAAAGCACAAGGTGGGTTTACAAGCAGAGGTTTGTAATAGACGTTAAGGATGTTCTTATTGCCAATAGATACTGACTATGGCATGTGACGGATGAGCTTTACACTGATAGTGAGGTGCAGGGAGTTTCTATATGATTCGATGATGTAAAATATGAACTACAGGCGCTTATATATGTCTAAAAATGCGCCCCTGAAGCGGAGCCGAAGCGAGTAGGTAAGGTATGTAATAAGGGTCCATGACATGAGAATTGAGCAATCATTAAAATAGAATATGGTCTGATATGGAGAAAATGATATGAACACGTACCAGTGAGGTTAGTTTGGACAATGGATGGATGTGCGACATAGGGCGCTTCGAGCGCGGGAAAGCGCGCCTAATGCGCACGCAAGAATGCTGCGCTTGGGGCGGCCGATGTGCGGGAAGGTAGCGCGCGCTTGGCGCTTGGCATGGGAGAGTTTCGCTTCACATAGGGAATGATTGGAAAGGTATTGGCACAAGTTGTGCATCAAACTGTACTCTGAGACAGGTCACATATATAGCCTCTGCAAGGCCACAGAGATATCAGTCTCTACACCGATCCCCTTCCACATCATAAACTCCATGTCTCACAATCCTTCCGGAAAACGCAATCATACAGCCGGAATTGTACTTGAACTCCAGCTGAAGGTTTGGCATTGTCATCCGAGCATTAGAATAGTTCCCCACGGTGGTGAGAATGTCGAAGCATTCAGCAATGGACATGTGGTCTTGATGATGGGGGGTTTCCTGATTGGAAATGATGGAGAGGGTGTTAAACACGGATGCCCAGTACTGCAGGGCCTCCGGCATCTGTGGCAGATCCTTGCTTACTGCTATATTTCCAAGGTTTGACAAGGTTCTCAACCCTGCCCAGTACTGCTCAGGATGCATGACTCTGAGTGCTGCGGACGCGATGGCTGCTGGTCTTGCAATGGCTTTGAGGATATTCTCGCAGGAAGGTCCCTTCAATGATGCAGATACCTCCGGATCTGACACATTCTTTGGGATTGGTGAGTATGACTGCCGGAATCACCATCTCATCAGATCCTACCTCATGTCCCTGTTGAAACCATGCCGGAGATAGATTGATGCATCTGGGAGTTGGTCCAACATCTTCCGAGCCCCAGTTGAACAACTTTTGATTAGTTCGCCAATTGCCATCAGCCCTTACACTTTTTTCGAGGCTTGGAGCGAGCAAATCAGTGGCCTCCCTGATTTCCTTCTGTAGGTTCCATTAATATTCAATATCCATTGAGTAACAATGTATATTACACACCTGGGTAGTGTTGGTCAGGGCATCTGGGAGGTACCATGCAATGATGGCACCGGATGCATCGAGAATTGTGGCAGGTTCGTCGACCAACCTTTTGCCTTCATAGCCAGGAGGACACCTCTCAAGCAACCTCACCTCTCTATGTTCATTATGCCCGGTGTCCTTCGGGGAGATCAATTTGCTATATCTTGCAATATCCATCTGCATCTGAACTGTCATGCAGGAATTTGAATGATAAAACAAATTTTCCGAATCTGCAGGAAGACCCACTGGGATTTTTAGATGCCTTTATGAGTACATCAGCCAAGCGATCGCACGCCATCACCAGATCAGTGTCTAGGTTGGGGGAAGGTATGACTGGGCCTCCTCCAGTCTTCTCTGCCTTGAATTTCTGTTCAGTATATTCTCCTGCTTCATAAGTCACAGTCAGGGCCCAAGTGCGCCAGATGTTTATGCTATCAGGAGGGGGAGGGGAAGAACCGTTCATGCTGGATGTTAATCTTGGGAAATCAGACACTGAATGCTGGATGTCCAGACTTTGGTGTTATAGGGGGTGGAGATAGAGAGGAT